TCCCCCTGGCATCCAGCTGACAGCAGGGGCCCAACTAACCAGAAGCATCCTCGGCGAGCACCAGATGCCAGGGGGACAGGGGTTAACTCCTGTGGTCAGACCTCTTTTTGTGAACACTGGGTCACAAGACTCCCTTTTGCCCACTGAGCTGCTTAAAATAACTTTTCTCAATTGATATTAAAGATTAAATGACTTCAAAAGAAACTAATACTGGCAGATGAAAGGAAATAATCTTATAGATATGCGGCGGAACTAGCTGTTTCTTTGACTACTGTGGGAAAGGAGGTCCCTAGCTCCATCTCTTCATTAACATCAGCAATGTAGCAGTGTCTAAAGGCCCCCAAAAGCCTATTCAGACTCACCCGACAACAAACTCCGTAGTCAGTGACAACCCCCCAGGAGGAAGGTACACGCCTTTCGAAACCCAAGATGCAAACATATCCATGGGACACAAGCCCTCCGTCTTCTACCGTTTAATATTTTATTTATTGCGCTTTCAAACCCCAGCTGCAAAGCTAAAGAGAGGGAGAGAGATGTAGTTTCTCATTAGCGAGAGCAGTAAAACCTGCGAGAAGGGGCTATAAAATAATGTCCTACATACCTGTGAGGAACCCCCCCCAGGATACCACATAAACTAGGACTGCCTGGTATTCTTCATTTGGCTAAACAAGAACATGAGTTTTCCTGATCCACCTCACTTGTGCCCTTTTGTTTTACTATCCTGAGTTCATTCCTGCCTCCAAATTCTTTCCCCCCGGGGAAAGGTTATAAACTTAATCCTGGAGTTTGCTTCACACATCATTTGCAGCTTGTCAATGGGTTTTTGAGCGTCGCCATGTGAGGGATAACATTAGGTAGGGGAAGATTTCTACAGATTTCATTTTTCTAATGGGAAGAAGAATGGCAGCACTGCTGCGGTGCTGCTCAGGACTGAGAGCGAGCTGTTTTCTTTGAAAAAAGCAAATTAATAGAAGGACTGTATGATCACATGGGTTTTTCTGCAATAGAAATGACTATAAAAGATCTTTTTGGTGCATACTTAGTCAATTATTCTGTTAGTACTTCTGCGAGACGGAGGATAAAAAGTCGTTCACTAAAGAAGCTTTTTTCTCCCCATTTCTGTCTCAGTTTCACGGCACATTTTTCTTCTGGACAAATCACCTCGTGGCTCAGTGCAACACCGATGCATCGGCGTTGCAGTCTGCAGATGCAACCTGCCATGCTACGGAAAAACCCCTTCCTTGCAGCTTCAGCTCTCAGGACATTGCCACCTGCCAGCTGTTGCCCGATATCCCTGGCTACAGGCAAATCATTAGCTGGAAGAACCAGGCTTAAGGAGCAGATTCCTGCCTAAATTGTCTTCTAGTTATGTGATTTGGGCATTTTTGCGTCTGAAGAGCTTATACGATTAAGAAATCTTCTCAAGAGCGAGCTGCTCTCGACAAGCGCTGAATGCTTAAAGCTGTTGTTTCTCTAACATCACAAACACTTCCTATCAAACAAACGGGAATTTTTTTGGCACTCTTGCAGGAAACACCTTCATTTACGGGGAGGGAGAAAAAAAAAATAAAAATGTTATCATAATGCCCTTGCTACGTGTATTTTTAAGGAAGCACACATAACATCACACAGGCCAAAACCACCCCGAGCGGCATTCGGTAAAGCTTGAGGGCTGGATTCCAGACCCGGCAGCTTGCTAAATACCAGGCTGGCTCCTGCCCTCCGGGTGGCGAAGAGCTGCCTGACTTATGGGAACTCCTCAGTGGGGTTTCCCAAACCCCTTGGGGTCAATAGCTCCTCTCTGCCCTCAGGGTGGGCACCGTGCTCCCAGGGTGGCTACCGCCCCAGGGGGTGCCGCAAGCCACGACCGCTGGGCAGGGAGGGTGAGGGCACTCCCCCACCGTGTGGGGCTCCCCAAAAGCCCCTGCCCTGCAAAGGAGGGAGCTGTAAGCCATGCACAGAAAGCAAGCCCTGATCTGAAAGCAGGATC